AGTTAAGTGTAGGCAATAATAAAATACTTAGGAATAAGAGCTAGTAAGGAAGTATTTTCAGACAAGAGAAGAAAAGCAGTAAGTTGTATAGAATAGTCATGCAGCTATTTAGGATGGAAAGCCATGGTATAGAGTTACTTCCTAAGCAGGTTTATGAACAAAGTCCTGCTTTTATCCTATGCAAATCAGCCAACCCTAAGTCGTTGATACTGATAGAAATAGCTGGTTGGCGATCCACACAGGTCATGCACTTAAAAGCCCAATTAGAAGGAGATATATTACTTAACTTGGCAGTCCACCTATTGGATACCTCTGATTGGAATCCTGGATTTCTTCTCCAGGAGAATGGAGAGAATGGCTGGTTCTTTATTTAAACTAGCCCTTTTCTGGATCTTCTTGAGACTAACACCAAAACCAATTCTTGTATGGCATGGAGGGATAGAGAGGGAGACAGGCTCGTCATTCTGAGACAAGCTTGAGGGTGTGAAAACCAAGGGAGAAAAGTTGGAGATGGCAATGAATTGGGAAGCATTAGTCTTTATCCTTGGGTGTTTTGGCTAACTTGCATGAGATGTTGCGACTACATAATTGTATCCTTATGTGATGATTAATGCCAGACATTAAATTAGAATTGAATATCATCCTTGTTATTGATCCACACTGTTTTATTGCTATGTGCTTTAACAGATTTTAGCTAATAAACTTTCATTCATAAATCAAAGAACTTGTGTTCATTTTAAATTACCTGGTGGTGAATTTGGAGGTCCCAAACGAGCATAAAAGAACCCCACGCAGCAGAAGATGGAGTACACTCAGAGACAGTATTGTACCAGGAGTTGTAAGTTCTACTTCTGGCTTTGTCAGATAATCCTGAACAAATCTCTGAAATATAGTCCTTTCTTGTTTGTAAAATGAGTTATAATAATTTTTCTGTCTACCTTCAATGGTAATAAGGAAGAAATACAGTGATAAAATTTTCAAAGACTGTGGTATGATATATCTGACAATGGGACAATATATGAAATCAGGACTTTTTAGGAATATCTGAAAAATGTCTATATGACAATACCTGAGAGTCTATGTGACATGTAAAGATTATCCAATAGTTTTATACCTGTTTTCTAAAAGATGAGAGCTTTCTTATTTTATTCCATGTGAAAGTTGTAGTTTGGAATCAGCTTTTGTTTCATTCTTCTGAGCTCTTTTTTTTTTTTTGACCACCTAGTTAGATTCTTTGTGGGAGTCCACTCCAGTGCAAGTAGGAATAGTAATGAGGAAAAACCAACAATGAAAAAGCCTTCCAGGAAATAGTAAATTATATTCCACTTAAGGCTAAGATTTTGTTCCTGAGGGGGTTATGTAATTTTGAACACTATTAACCCACTATTACCCAATTAGATTTTTACAATGATTTTTTACATCAAAGTTGACTATTATGTTCTTTTTTTTTTTAAGATTTTTATTTATTTATTTGAGAGAGAGTGCGAGCATGAGTGGGGAGATTGAGCAGGGCAGAGGGAGAGAGAGAAGTAGACTGCCTGCTGAGCAGGGAGCCTGACATGGGGCTTGATCCCAGGACCCTGGGATCATGACCTGAACCAAAGGCAGATGCTTAACCAACTAAGCCACTCAGGCACCCCAACTATTGTGTTCTTGTATTGATAGACTTATTTCTTTTTTTTTTCTTCT